TTTCGCAGTTCCGCATCCCATGTGACTTCACCCTTAGGTAGCGCTACAGTTCTCTCAACTGGTTTCTGAACGGCGTTTGAGAGATTGGGTGCTCCGGGGTGTCGTTTCTGAACGCAGCCCTGTTGGTGTATATTGAGTATTGACATAACCAAAGTAAAGACTTTGCTGTAAGCTGCATCGTGTAAATAGAAATAAATACTAAATAGTCTAAATAGTAAATACATATTGTGAAAGAACATCGTAAATTTTGTGATCGATTGCGAATAAAATTACGAATAAATAACGAATTATAAAATGGCACAAGGAAAATCCAACGTATGGAAATTTTTTAAAATATGTAATGATGATGAAAAAAAAGCTGAATGTTTTCTTTGCGAATCTGTCACAAAATCAAATTGTAAGAGGAAAATCGCCTAAATTATTCTCAACTAAGCCTTTATGGAACCATTTGAAAAGTAAACATCCGTTAATAATGAAAACCTTGGATAAAGAAGTAAATGCCAGTAAGGACAGTAAGGATGAAGATGATCCATTGACTTCTAGCTCTTCATCATCTACGACAATAATTTCAAAATCAAAATCTCGTCAGACACAGCCTACTTTACAGTCTGTAATTAAGAAAAAAGAAATGTGGTCTTTGGATGATTCAAGATCAATTAACATAACCAAAAAGATCGGTATGTTATATTTTTATATTTATTTTAGAGAATCATTATTTATTTTATTATGAATAAATGTTTATGTTAGTTCGTAAGTAATGTCATGTCAAGTCAAAACATAAGTATTGTCAAATCAAAGTTATCCTTAGTATTCTTCTTAAAAAACAAGGATTTGTGTTATTAATATTGTTATTATTATTATGTGACTACATACGTTTATTTAATGAAAAATATGTTTATTATTATAACTTTGCTTTGATTGTAATTTAACCATGCTTTTATACTTTTACTTGTCCAAAATTAATTCCATTTTATACTTTTGATTTTGAGTTTTGACTGTTTATTTTTGTTATATTTTAGGTGAAATGATAGCTCTTGATGCTGAAGCATTTGCACTAGTTGAGCGAAAAGGCTTTGAAAGATTAATAAAGTTTTTGGCACCGCAGTATCCTCTCCCTTGTAGAACATATTTTTCCGAAAAAATTATACCCCAGCTGTACGAAAACTTGAAAACACGTATTCGTATAGAATTAATTACTGCAAGATACATATCGTTTTCCACTGATATCTGGACTTGTTCAGCAAACAATGAAGCATTCATAAGTCTAACAGCTCACTTTATACGAAATGATGATATACGGAGACAAATATATGTTCTCAGCGCGAAACACTTTCCTGGTAGCCATACTGGCGTCAATATCGGTCAGATATTAAATGATATAATGGAAGAATGGCATATAAATTCTAATCAAATTCATTTGATTTTGAGGGACAATGCTGCTAATATGATTGTCGGAACTGGTATTTAGTATTTACGTTTAAATAAATTTACATTGAGAAATATATTTTTTAAGTAAATAATATATTCTTGATTTTAAATTGTCGACATTAATATTATTAATTATGTCATATATCTTACAAATATGATAGGAGAAAATGTAGGATGTATTATTCACACTTTACAACTCGTGATCCATGATTGCATTTTTAAAAATCAAAAATTCGTTGAAATTTTGGGAAAATGTCGAAAAATTGTTGGACATTTTAGCCATTCTGCACTCGCTTGTTCGAAACTCACTAGCATCCAGGAAAATTTGAAGTTGCCAATTCATAAATTAATTCAAGATGTTACCACACGATGGAATTCTACATTTTATATGTTGTCAAGGCTTTATGAACAATGACAAGCAGTAACTGCATATGCTGCAGAAAGAGATATACCAACTCTTACAGCCATGCAATGGAATATGGTAGAAAACGTTATACGTGTTCTCCAACCATTTGAAGAAATTACTAAAATATTGAGTTCTGATTGCGAGACAATTGAATATGTTATTCCAGCAGTTGTTACTTTACATTCATATCTTTCAAAACGACAAAAAGATACTGGAATAGTAATGTTGAAGAAAGAGCTCAAGAAGGCAATTGAAGAACGGTTTTTTAATTCTATAGGTATTGTTATAATGTCCATTGTTCAATACTTCAATAAATTCATGTTATTTTTTCTTTAAAATAAATTATTTTATTTTTTATCGTCATATAGGATTCAATATCAAAGATCGAAAATGTTTTGTACTGGCTACCATGTTAGATCCAAGATTTAAAACTAAGTTTTTGTCAGACGAAAATAAAGCCAAACAATGGATCATTGATGAATTACTTGAAATAAATAATACAATCACCAAAGATGATGAAAATATTGAAAACAATACACAGAATCATGTCAGTCCTCTTCAAAAACAAGATATTATCAGTGAAACACATGACGACATCTGGAAGTGCTTTGATGACATAATAAACAATTCAAAATCGGATACCGACAATAGCAGTTTTGAGGATTCATCATCATCAACAACTTTTAAAAGACAACCCAGTGACAGAAGTAAAAAGAAAGCTGCAGTTTATAATGCAGAATTATCAAAATACCTGATGCTACCTCTGTCACCGAGAAATGAGGATCCGTTAACATGGTGGAAGACTCATATTTTAGAATACCCTAATCTCAAAACTTTAGTTTTGAAATACTTAAGTGCTCCGCCGTCCTCCGTACATTCAGAAAGACTTTTCAGCGCAGGAAAATTGGTTTATTCCGATAATCGAAATAGATTATCACCAAAAAATGCTGACATATTATTGTTTATCATGAAAAATTTGTTAATATTAAACTTTGATATTTGATTACTGATTTGATTACTGAAGATATTATCAGTGAAACACATGATAAATAATAATAAATAAATATTAAGCCTGGTCCGTGTTTATTTATTTTCACTGA